ATCCGAGCCCGGATACTCATGTCTTTACATACTTGTGAATAATCTAACAAGGGCAATAATTTAAAGCAAAAACGGTTGTCCCGTCCTCTATAAGGACGGGTCAAAATCTAGTAGATATTATTTTTGTTGTTTTATCTATAAATAGATAAAAAATCTTTTATTTTGATGATATAAAATGCTACATGATCAAAATCAAGTTACAATTATACTAGTATGAAGAAAGTTTTAAAAAATGCGGATATTTTTTTTGTTGACCGTAAAACCAAATATTAAATGAATTTATAATAATTATTATATATCTATAATATTTAATAGCTATTCTATTATTATTGTTTTAGCTAGGTATAATGTTTTCATTGAATTTTCATATCCGAGTGAGACTTATTAATCCATTTATTGATATATTATTTAATATTTGACTTTGATAAAAATAAATATTTCTTCTAATGTAATTCATAAATTGTTTTTTACTTACAAGTTATATACTTGCGTTCAAATACATGATAAATATACAGAAAATGATGTAGATGTACTATAATTTTTTGTGTTAAAAGAGTACGTACTACAACTTTTTTGTCTTAATAAGAGGCTACATCTTTGATTAAGCATCTACGCACTAGTTTCTTTCTTCGCTTAAAAATTGGTACTTTGCAGTTTTGCAAGTGTTGATGATAACAGCCGATGACTTTGACTTTTATGTACTCACTGCTACCAGTGGGTGACCATCCTAGAAGAAAAACAATTGAAGAGATTATAAACTATCATCAGTGATGTATATGGATCATAGATCTGTTAACGAAAAATATATAGTACATAGACTAGAAGAAGCAGTTAATGTGCATGTCTACTCTATGCAAAAGCAGTTAATGTGCAAAAAATAGATATTATTTTTGTTGTTTTATCTATAAATAGATAAAAAATCTTTTATTTTGATGATATAAAATGCTACATGATCAAAATCAAGTTACAATTATACTAGTATGAAGAAAGTTTGCGGATATTTTTTTTGTTGACCGTAAAACCAAATATTAAATGAATTTATAATAATTATTATATATCTATAATATTTAATAGCTATTCTATTATTATTGTTTTAGCTAGGTATAATGTTTTCATTGAATTTTCATATCCGAGTGAGACTTATTAATCCATTTATTGATATATTATTTAATATTTGACTTTGATAAAAATAAATATTTTTGTACATAACTTTTTATCACGAATTTGCGTTATTTGTAAGTTGTCGAAATCTATTCGAAAATTAAGATCAGGTATTTATACTATTAAAAATGTTATTAAATTTATTTGTAAATATATTAACTATCAAAATACATAAATATAGAACAAATTATTAATCATCTATTTTTAAATTTTTTATTAATAATATCTAGTCTAAAAATCTTTTTAAAAAAACAGTGTGAGACAAAAGTTGAAAAGAACATTGTGGCTGTTAAGGCAGCAGAACATCTCGAATGCATATGATGCTACACAAGTTCTTTTTAACCCTCCAATAAAAGAACATAAGAGTTTAGAAAAAAGTGAATATTTTTTTATATCATGACTGTTAAGATAGAACATGTTAAAAAGTTGTTGTAATGCATTTGTGATAGATGAGATTCAAATCTTGAATGCATATTCAGGCTGATGGGCACTATTTTTGCAAGAATATTCAAAAGTATTTTAAAAGAGAATTAGTCCATTAATCAAATTCATTATACAGATATTATTTGTATTTAAATTATATAGTTTTCAGGCTCAGAAAACAAAAAAAAAACAATAATGTCATTAATGAAAAATTTAATTTATCCATAATATTAAATATAATTTTGGAAAATCTAAATATTTCATTAAAGCAATAAAAAGGTATTGATAGGCGGCAATGGCGTTAAATTTTCAGTTACAAAAAACTATAAATGATGATATATATATGATGATATATATATATATATATATATATATTAAATGATGATATATTTACGGTACGCCTTAGAGATAAAAGATACATTTTTTTTTGAAAATAGAGAAGAAGACTTTATTGCAAGAATTTTTCAAAAATAAGGTTTCTAATAATATTACTTTATATAATTAAGTTTTAATATTTAAACAGAATTTAAACCACTTAAAACAAGTGCGAGATAATGCCATAATAATTTCTATACTTTATTTGCCCTCAAATAACTTCACTTTTAAAACCCACGTCGAATTCGAATCCATGTTTGAAAACTACATATTAAACGGCCCTTTTCCTTATCGTTAAATCCATGTAAAGTTGTAAAAGTAAGTTTTAAAAAAAAACACATGTAAACATTAGGGTTTTCACTAATCTACTAGTAACTACAGATAAAGAGACACGAGAGGACAGGAAACCATGCCCTAAGACTTGAATTTTCGAATTTCTTAAAACAAAATAGTTTCACCCATTTTTATGCCTTTCTACAAAAATATATATATATATATATATATTTTCAAGAGAAAGTGTCGGTTTCGGAGTCATACGAACCTGAAATTCCAATATAGCGACCGAACCGGAATCCACAATATCCGGTACAGTTGTCACTTCCACCAGAAAAATCGAAACCGATAGCTTTGAATTGTCAAAAATAAATTAATATATCGCTGTCGACTCTTCAACGTCTGCGACGTAAATGGTACGACAGTGCATTTGACTTTTTTGTATCGACAAGTTTTAGCCTTACCCTAAAGATTACATGTATCAGTTTCAATAATTATCATGAAGGGCTTGTTGCTGTTCTTCTTGTGTTAACAGTTTTTCTTTATTACATGTTAATTAATACAGTGAAAGAAAATGTTCTGTTACAAAAGCTGGACAAAGCTATAAAGTTTTGAAAGATGCAAAAACTCAAAACAAGATGAAATCATACAATTCAGAGAGTTTTCTTTTGACAAAGTACAATCCAGAGAGTTGATCATTCATAATTAGAGAACCAAAGAAATAGAAGATTCTTAATTATGATCAACAATCGTTTTGGTTCTGTTATGGTGGATGCTTCATTCGCAATGTTCGTATAACCCAATATTTTTACACATTGATTGATTGCATATGTTTATTGCCATATTAACCCATCGGCCGTAAGATTTTTTATTGTCCATTAAAAATATATATTTTTTGTCCTTAAATTTTTATTTTAATAGTCGCATGTTTGTTTCAATTTATATCCTTTGTAGGAAGCTAGCTACACATTGTCAGTCTATGAATATGTATTACTAGTACTTATTTAATTGCTAAATATATTTACGATTCGTGTAGGATTAAGAAAAATGCAATACAATTAAGGAGGAGAAATATGAAAATGATGGCTGGAAAACAAATGGCTCACATGGTACGATTTATAGTGACATATGTGACTTCTCTTCTAAGGGCCGCCTTGGCTCACATGGTACCAAGATTTGTGTGACATATGCGACTTCACTTCTTAGGGCCGGCTTTAGGAAACGCTAGACGAGATAGCCTCTAATCAAGTAAACGTTAGACGATGTAGCCTTTAGGAAATTCTAAGCACGGTAAGGAATTTTGGCTCACTAGTTAATCGGGATTGGATTCCGATTGTTCTCTCGTTTATTATATGTTTGTTTCTAGTGTAATTGCTTTTCCAAAACTGTCTGGCTACGGTTGTAATTTTTATAAGAATAATAATTAAAAAACTAAATAAGATAAGCTAGTTTTATGTAACGTAAGTTAAAAAAAAAAACTGAAATGTCAACTACTTTTTAAACGTTTAACTCTACTAATTAAGTACTAAAGTGCTAAGTTAAGATGTCAAAATGTGAGAAAATGATTGCATAAGTACATGAATAAAATTGATAGAACTTTAAATTCTTCTGAAAATTTACCATTTGAAAAAGTGGAAACATTTCTACCATTTTTTCTGAAAATGATATTTAACAAAATCTAGCTCTTTTTTTTCTTCTTCTATTTGTTAGAAAAATGAATGACATCAAATTATTATTTATCATCCTTTTATCATTTAGCTCTATTCTAGTTATCTTTGTTTCACTAGTTCTTCTAGTGACAACCGTTTGCACTCGATTTACCATTTATTTTTAAAAAATCAGATATATAAATTATGAACAAATTTCGTTAGTTATGTTAATTTTAAGATGAAGCCTCTGAACTCTTATCAGTAAGTAAACAATTCTAATCACAGCTCATATATAATGTATTTTCTTAGAGTCGGCTCTTAACAGATATTGGTCAGCAACGGAATAGAACCTCTTAGAGTCTGCTCTTAACGGATGGTATACTTAAATCATTCGTTCATTCAGATGAATGAACAACTTTGAAATTGAAAAAAAAAACTAAATTGTACATATAATTTGAGAGTTTCAAAATAAAAAGATTGATAGGTTCTTAGAGAGAGAAAAAAACTACAATTTTTATAAGAACAAAATTTCAGTTTATTGTGTTTTCACCTAACTAATGGCTCCATTGCCTCATAGAAGTACGATGACATCAAATCCTAGTGCTCAAAATTCCGAGAAGAGGTAGGTTCTCTGCCACTTGCCCACAGAGTCTCGAGAACCAGTTCATATTTATGTCGGCTATTTGCTCTATAGAGTTCGGACAGACATGAATTAAATAGATTAATAAAATATCAACTTATATTGTTTCATCACTTTTTCAAAGCAACTTATATACTGTATATCGTTCAATCATCTAGAAAATCAAATAAGATATTTAATTTTTAAAATCATAAAACAGAAGTGTGAAATAGTAATTCTGTAATACAACTATCTTCTTTGTAAAAGAAAATTAATTTCTCACTCATAAACCAAATCCAAATTATTAATCTTGGACAAGAACAAGACTAAAAGTCAAACGCGTTTTACATAAATATATATATTTAGAAGCTATAGATAAAACAACATTTTTTTGAAACACTGATAAAACAACATTTTCTTTCCAAAAATAAAAAGACAAAACTACCCAGCATCTATCCCTAATTCCCTATATATATCTCACACCCTCTTCCTTCCCATCTACAACACAATCACACAAAACATGGCTCTAACAAAATCATCTTTAGTCCTTTTCCTTTGCCTCTTAGGTTTATACTCTGAAACCGTCAAGTCTCAAAACTGTGGTTGCGCCCCAAACCTGTGTTGCAGTCAGTTCGGTTACTGCGGTTCCACAGACGCTTATTGTGGTACTGGGTGCCGATCAGGCCCTTGCAGAACCCCTGGCGGAACTCCTGTTCCCGCTGGTGGTGGATCGGTTGGTAGCATTGTGACACAAGCTTTCTTTAGTGGTATTATCAACCAAGCCGGTGGTGGTTGCGCCGGAAAGAATTTCTACACCCGTGATTCTTTCATTAACGCCGCAAATACTTTCCCCAACTTTGCCAATTCCGTTACTAAACGTGAAATTGCAACCATGTTTGCTCATTTCACCCACGAGACTGGACGTAAGAATCGCTTTCTCTATATAGACTAGACATAGTGGTTAGAATTGTTGAATAACTTTTTTTATCGACCAAAACTTGGTTTAAGTTTATGATCGGTTTTCAAAAAATAATAACAAGAACTAAATTTTGTATACACATATAGTCTGGTCCTATGGCCGATTCTAATTTTAACCAATAGAATAAAAACGAGTACACTATATATAGTCAAAATCATAGGCATGGATATTTAATTAAACGTTCGTTTTTAAATAAAAACTAAAAGATGATTATATAACAGTAAATCGATTAAAACAACATAGTATAATACGTAAAAGAAAAAACCTTCGATTGTTGAAAAAACAAAGAATAATAAACCTTCGTTATAATAAAGTTAAATATGATATGACTTGATCTCAATAAATTGGGATGATCTCAAAGCAATTTGTTTCATGTGTATCTCTATTCTCTATAGATTTCTGCTACGTAGAAGAAATAAACGGAGCTTCACATGACTACTGCGACGAGAACAACAGGCAGTACCCATGTGCACCGGGCAAAGGCTACTTCGGTCGTGGTCCGATTCAACTATCCTGGAACTACAACTATGGAGCATGTGGCCAGAATCTCAACCTTAACCTCTTAGGCCAGCCCGAGCTAGTGAGTAGCAACCCAACAGTCGCTTTCAGGACGGGTCTGTGGTTTTGGATGAATAGCGTAAGACCGGTACTAAACCAAGGGTTTGGAGCCACCATTAGAGCCATCAACGGAATAGAATGTAACGGTGGGAATTCAGGGGCGGTCAATGCAAGGATTAGGTACTATAGAGACTATTGTGGACAGCTTGGGGTGGACCCTGGTCCTAACCTTAGCTGCTAAAAAGCTATTCAAAACCAACACACACACACGTGACGTGGGAATTGATGGGGGAAGTTGATGTTTAAGATGAAATAATAAATGAGATGATAAAGTTAAATCTCATGTATGCTCTTATGTTGGGTCTTAGTGTTCCCTGCGTCACAAGCAATAAGTAGTTGTAATAATCTTGTGAAAGTGATTTTCTTTTCGTTTAAACGTATTTTGAAGTGAATGCAACATTAATAAATGCCTAAAAGTAAGTCATTTACGGTATCTGTTTTTTGGATATTCGCACGTACGTATTGGTTTCAGTTTACAGTGACTGATAATATGTCAGAATGGTGATGCTGTAAAATAACAGTATATTGGTAGGAATATACTGTTAATTAGGTTATGTGAAATGATATATTTTTTTTTTGCTTCTGGGACGTCCTTAAGTCTCAAGGGGGGGGGGGGGGGGGGGGGGGGGGAGGGGGTTACCTTAATTAAGACATAATCTTCCATAGCCTACAGACTATTAGTTAACAGTTCTACAGTTTAGAACTTGTTTTCTACCTAATTACGACTAATTTATACCTCTAAATTGCGAGAGTGTTTTACCCCCCAGTATTAATTTACACTGTCATGATCATGTGTATCTTTATTATCTCGAATAAATAATTAATGTGTAGAGAGGATGAGACCACGTACACTTAAGCTTACTTTGTTCACTCTTCAATGTCAATTATTTGTCACGTATTTTTTATAGAAGGGTATAAATTTTAGCAAAATTTACTCAAATATCAAATAATGGTTGATTAAAAGTTTATTAATTTATACATCCAAATTTTTTATTTGAACTAAAGATGCAAATTATCTTTATTAATTACATATCAATGAAAATACTTTATGCTATCTTCAGCATAATAAAAAAATATGTGGCATAATTTTTTTTTAGAAATCAGCAGAATAATTATTTCATAATTTTTAATAAACTTATATTAAAAAAATATTTATATATATATATACGCAATTAAACAAATTTAAAATATTGAATCTTCAGTTACATTGATTTTGTTTGCAGTGTTATTAAAGATTTAGTATTTATTTTATTAATCTTAAAAATAAGCCGTACATTACATTCATTATCAACTTTAAATCCACTTTACAACTCATAATATGTTTTTGTTTGATTTATGTAGAAGGGATGACTAGTCTTGTTGATTTAAAAGCATAGTAATAAAACAGCCGACCATAATAGTCACTAGTCAGAAGTAATATTTCTAAATATTTGTAAAACCGTCAATCATATCATCATATAATATATTTTTATTAAATGATCAAATTATCTGCAATATAGATGATATTGATAAAAAAGTTGTCGGACAATGATTCTACTATGTAAATTTTCCTGTGACATTTAGATAGACAAAATTAAAAATTTTGCATGTAAGACATCTTCGATGGATAAGCTTTCGCAACAGCACACAACCACAACAAATAATTTTAAGCACTTTAAAAGTTTGGATAAACCTTGTATCACATCACTTGTAAGAAGTTATATTATCTAGAAATTGAACTTCATACTTGATGTAGAAAACTTGAAACTTTACCAATAGACAGTGGTGTTTGCACAATCAAGTGTTTCATATTGTGGATTTCGACAAAAGCTTGAATGTGTTCACAGCGAATTTAACCATTTTCAGTTGTTGATGTCGGTAGCATTTGCCTATTAGCTTTGGATATTGGTTAGGCCATTGGTTAATTGTTCAAAAATGACTGGATATTAGTTTGTGTTTCCATTTGGGGTGGATTTAAAATATATAATTAAGGAATTTATAGAAATTTTATTAATTGGTCCTATGAGTCATGCATTGTTAGGCCATTGACGGAGACTGGACGCGTGTAAGGGATGCTGCCTACCGTAGTCCCAACGAATTTTATTCCATTACTTTTACCGTAGAAAATGGTAACTGGTTAGTTATGAAAACAAAATTATGCAGACTCCTAGTACTACCGTGTTAATAATAGTCCTATTCGATTTTTTTTTTTTTCATTGGCATTTTATATGATTAACTATGCATGAAGTGAACAAATACGTAATCTAGTTTGCCCTAATTCATCACTAGGTGCCGTATTTTTTTTGGATTCAATACGATTAATGTGATGTGTGACTTATATATGTGTAATTTGTGGTGGCTTTCACAGCTAAAGGTTGGATCATGTCTAGAGGCCATCCTTGTTGGTTCAAACTTGATTAATTCTTCAAATTGCAGTTGACTAGTCTTGTTACGAATTTTTATAAAATTTGCAAAATTCAACAGAAAATATTCATTCATATAATATAGTACTAAGAGCCGTATGCGTTGACGTCTTGCTATGTACATGCGTTTGCATACTATGTTTATCTCTTTCTGCCATCTATGCCATCTGTGTGAACAAACACATATAAAACTAAAGAATGCGTGTTAGCGGTATAACCTTCCCTTATTTAGGATGGTTTTGGTGCTGTTATTTCGGGATACCGTTTTCTCTTTTAGGGGTGATCTTGGATCTTTGTTCCAATGTGAATTCGTCTCTTGTTTTCATTCGCTTTCTAGATATGAGATTACTTTGACTCAAATGAATTGAATAGTCAAAATTTTCTTAACATACACATGGACTTCTCTCCATAATCTGTTGTTTTACTAAAAAAATTTGGGGGTCATTTTCAGGACATTATCTTTCTGTCATTGTAAATGAACAAAACATGAGTAATTAAGTTGAAGCTTGAAATTTTTAGTTGCAACAAATAAACCTTAAATCCACAGGCCAAGAAAAATTAAGTATTCGGAGAGCGATGCATCACCGTAGTAAATTGGTTCATTGCAATCTTTAACGGATGGAAATGAGATTGCTACAAGCCATTAGGGTTGAAGAGACACTTCTTGTGGAGTTAAAATAGAAATGCATCAAAGAATGGCACGATAATGGACTCAACGCTTCACATGGTACCAAAATTTATCACGGCATGTGCGACTTTAACCTAGGGCGGCTTTGGGGAAATAGTACCGATAAATAGAGAGATCGAATACATATTTTCTATATTTTTTCCCAGGACCGGCTGTTAGGAAATTGATTGGCGACTCGGTTTGTATTATTGTGTTTTTTCCCAACAATAAGTACTGTGCCACAAGCTATGCAAACGATTGATCAAGGTAAAACTGTAAAATCAACATAAACCATAGAAGAAGACATGCTGTTGTGATTTGTATTATACATTAATATATGTCCATTCCCATAGTATTTTCTTATAAGGGAGAATTTCACTTTTACCATTTTTGTGGTACCATTATTCATATTTACACTTAGAAGGAGGACATTTTCAAATATACCTAGATCATTGATAGGTAAAAGACAAAACAACCCTCGATCATAATTTTCCATCTCTTTCTCGAGAGAGTTCGACGAAACAACGGCACGAGATAGAGCGACGATGGCCACGAGATAATCCAGAGTTCCAGAGAAGGAGATCAAGAGGTAGACACTGAGGGAGCTTGTGGATTCAGTCAAAGTTACCATCTTTGAGAGTGAAGCGATGAATCACGGCGAAGGTTGGAATTCCGGTGGCCGTCGGGATCATAGGGGCCGCTCTCAGGCGACTTGGCAAAAAGTAAACTGCAAAAGTCCGGTAAGTTAACGTGATTTCTAAGTTAGGAACTTTGCTTGTTGATTGCTAGTGTTATGGTTCGTAAGCAGAATCTTCATCCTTTGTTATCTACAGATTGATAGGTCTTTGGATGAGGTCTTTGGATGAATCTTCTGGTAATAGGGGTAGAGGGTTTCGAGGAGGAGGAAGATGTACACAATCATTGTCTCGTAGAAATAACAATAGTCCAGTGCAAGTGTACTTTGAGAAGTCTAAAATCTCCAATGTGGGATTAGTGGAAAAGTCAGCTCAGCAAGAAGTAAAGTCTGGGGACAACACGGATGTTTTGCAACCATCTGCTTCGTCTGTCTCTAGAGAATGTGAGGATATGAAGGGCGGTGGAATGTCTTGTGATTTAATGACTAGGATGGGGGATGATTCGCTCTCTGGCCAGGTGTCTATGTCTTCTACAAGTGATAGCAAGGTTGAGATTTCTAGTGTTATAGGGAACGCTTCGGATGATAGCAACACTAAACTTTTTGATATCTACCTCGAGAGGAAGGGGAATGAACTAAAACCTTTCTTCTTGGAACTGAACAGAGAAAAGAGGAGAGCTGCTAAGGGGTACACTGGGTTTGTTATTAGACCTGGGATGGTACATCTCCAGAACTACTTGTCATTCAACGATCAGGTACTCTCTCTACCTTTTTCCCTTCGCTCTGAATGTGTTTGCTTATCTGTCTTATCTTATATGCATAGATCTGTGCCTTTTCGCTTTACATTTTGCTTGTAGGTGATGATTGTGAAGAAATTCTGGGAGCTTGGTTTGGGTGAAGGAGGCTTCTATCAACCACATTTTCGAGATGGAGCATCATTGCATTTGAAAATGATGTGCCTTGGGAAAAACTGGGACCCTCAAACATCTCGATATGGAGATACTCAACCACATGATGGTTCTGTTCCACCAAAAGATTCCTTTTGAGTTCAATCAGTTTGTTCAGAAAGCAATCAAAGATACACAGTCCCTTGTTGCTACAAGCTCGAAGAAGGGAGAAGATGAGATACCATGTATGTCACCAGACATCTGTATTGCTAACTTCTATACATCCACGGGGAGACTTGGTCTACATCAGGTTAGTATTTCAAACAACTTCTTGATTTCTTAAAAGTTTGTAGGTTATTTGCATTATTAGTATTGTCTCTTTGATGTTTCAGGATAAAGATGAGCAATGGTTCATGGTGTAGATGGAGAAAAGGTAATCTTGCATTCTCTGATAACTCTCTTGTATTGTATGATTAGATTCTTCAAGGAACTCGAGTTATGTTGGGTGATTTAGTTCCTGAAATTACTTTGTGTCCTGTTTCACGTTACAGAGTATTATATTTGTAGGTTGGAACGTTGACACATTTCGGTTTGTTTGGTGCAAATTGTCACAGGTAGCAGATCATCTTGATCGAGCTGTTTCAAGTCTTGGAAGGCATCCACTTAAGGTTTTGGTCCAAGTTAACACAAGCGGAGAAGCTTGTTAGTATATATCCATCCACCGAGCTTTCGTTTCTTTTCTCCAGCTTCTTCATACAGTGGCTAAACTGTGTGTTTCTGAAAATCGTTGCAGCTAAATCTGGAGTAGAACCTTCTAGTGTTTTGGAGCTAGCAAGACACGTGAATATGCACTGTCCGAATCTGGTATTCTCTGGTTTAATAACTATTGGGATGCCTGACTATACTTCTACTCCAGAGAACTTCAGGGTATGCTCTTCATCTACTCTGAATCTTTTGTCTGAATCTTTATCATGGAATGATATATTGTTGCCAGGATTCATGGAAGACAACGATGTTGTTAAGGGTGAAGGAGAAGCTGAAAGCAAAGGAGCTTGAGGAGGATGATCTTACGGTAAGATTCTTACCTAAACATATATCTCTATCCATCTGGGAGCTTTGCTTATTACTCAATGCTGTGTGTATCTTCATTTGTGTTCATGTCACTTCATGTTCGACTCTGACTTGGTTTTATTTTGTCTGGCTACGTAAGAGGTTTGGTCGAAATTGGTTTGTTTGATATCAAAAGAATAATTTTAAACAAAAGTACGTTGTTCCAACAGATTTCTCGCTGCCTTAGAGCATCACTAGTGGACAATCTCCCAAAAAGAGATTCTTATGTTTATCATACTAGTTTCTTAATTACTTATATAATTAAATTTAATTGTAACAAATATAAGTTGTTCAATATTACAGTGACTCATTGATTTTAAGAGTTTATAAATCATTTATAAATTATTATTAGTTTTTTATAAGGCTTTATAAATTATAAAAAATATTTTTAAAGTCTTTGTAAGTGTACATTAAGTTTCATAAAGGTTCTATAAGGGTTTGTTAAATTCTTAGAAGGTTTATGAAACCATTTCTAAGAGTTAATCTATGAAAATTTATAAATCATAAATAAGGATTTAATAATGAATAAAAATTAAATTTATAAAGATTTATAAAAACTTCTAAACCCTTAAATTAGTTTATATGCCTTTATAAATTAGTTTATAAACTCTTCTAAACCCTTAATTTAGTTTATAAGCCTTTATAAATTAGTTTATAATGGTTTAGAGGTCATTTATAAATATTTATAAAATCATTTATTAATTATTATTAGTTTTTATAAGGCTTTATAAATTATAAAAAATATTTTTAAAGTCTTTGTAAGTGTACATTAAGTTTCATAAAGGTTCTATAAGGGTTTGTTAAATTCTTATAAGGTTTATGAAACCATTTGTAAGAGTTAATCTATGAAAATTTATAAATCATATAATAAGGATTTAATAATGAATAAAAAATAAATTTATAATGATTTATAAAAACTTCTAAACCCTTAAATTAGTTTATAAGCCTTTAGAAATTAGTTTATAAACTCTTCTAAACCCTTAAATTAGTTTATAAGCCTTTGTAAATTAGTTTATAATGGTTTAGAGGTCATTTATAAATATTTATAAATTATTATTAGTTTTTAATAGGGCTTTATAAATTATAAAAAAATATTTTTAAAGTCTTTGTAAGTGTACATTAAGTTTCATAAAGGTTCTATAAGGGTTTGTTAAATTCTTATAAGGGTTATGAAACCATTTGTAAGAGTTAATCTATGGAAGTTTATAAATCATATAATAAGGATTTAATAATGAATAAAAAATAAATTTATAAAGATTTATAAGAACTTCTAAACCCTTAAATTAGTTTATATGCCTTTATAAATTAGTTTATAAACTCTTCTAAACCCTTAAGTTAGTTTATAAGCCTTTATAAATTAGTTTATAATGGTTTAGAGGTCATTTATAAATATTTATAAATTATTATTAGTTTTTCTTAAGGCTTTATAAATTATAAAAAATATTTTTAAAGTCTTTGTAAGTGTACATTAAGTTTCATAAAGGTTCTATAAGGGTTATATTCTTAGAAGGTTTATGAAACCATTGTAAGAGTTAATCTATGAAAATTTATAAATCATATAATGATTTAATAATGAATAAAAAATAAATTTATAAAGATTTATAAAAACTTCTAAACCCTTAAATTAGTTTATAAACCTTTAGAAATTAGTTTATAAACTCTTCTAAACCCTTAAGTTAGTTTATAAGCCTTTATAAATTAGTTTATAATGGTTTAGAGGTCATTTATAAATATTTATAAATTATTATTAGTTTTTTATAAGGCTTTATAAATTATAAAAATTATTTTTAAAGTCTTTGTAAGTGTACATTAAGTTTCATAAAGGTTCTATAAGGGTTTGTTAAATTCTTATAAGGTTTATGAAACCATTTGTAAGAGTTAATCTATGAAAGTTTATAAATCATATAATAAGGATTTAATAATGAATAAAAATTAAATTTATAAAGATTTATAAAAACTTCTAAACCCTTAAATTAGTTTATAAGCCTTTATAAATTAGTTCATATGAGTTTATACAAAACTTTATAAGGGTTTATAAATCAATTTATAAGAGTTTATAAATCAATTTGTAAGAGTTTATAAATCAATTTGTAAGAATAACATTCAATTTTCAGGAGAAGTTTGGGTCTGAGAATGTTAAATTTTTAGAGTGTGGTTGCTGGCTATGTGATCAGCATCATCACTCCTCGCCTGCTATACAGATACGTGTTTGTGACTGGCTATGTGATCAACATCAGTACGTATGTTTTACTTGTCAGATTGGTGTTCTAGTGACACTACTGCTGCAGAAATACATGTACGTTTTAAAGAATATGTGACTGGTTGAAACGATCTTTGCGGTGGTTCTTGTTGTAAATAGAGATGCTTTGTTTGAAATGTTTATTGCAGTTCGACAATCTCTCACTGGACCAAGACATGCTTTCTCTCGAATTACAAATGAGCTAAATACATGAATCAAATCTACTGGGAAACCATACGTAGCCCACAAGTCAAAAGCAATCTCCAAAACAACAAAACTAACATGTTGAGATGGAAATGAGTGTTCCACTTACTGCAACTATCCAAAACTGCATAAATATCTATTTAGATGCATGCCTCTCCACTCAGTATTCTCCTGAACCGCTTTAGCAGCTTTCTGAAACTTCTCAATACCCTGCAGTGAGAATTGTTGGAAACATGTCATCAAAACAGGTACTGTACTCACATGTCCAACAAAGAGTGTATGCGGAATCATGTCCAACAAAAAATAACTATCTTTAAGAAGAAGAAGATAGCAAGTTTATTTATTTTGATTCCTTTGTTATATATATATATGTATATATATATATATATATATATATATATATATATATTAAAGATCTGATACAAAACTGTTTACAGTTCTCCCACACACAAGAAACAAAACTGCTAAGCAGTTAGTACAAGTATAACACCATATCCCACTTCTCTAACGACTCTCCACTAGATAACAAAACCCAAATTCCCATAAGGAGATTTAAAATGTTACACACCCCTCAAAATATCTGTAGCTTTTGGTCTATCATATTCTATTCAGTGTCAGAAGGCAAGAAGCAAACCGGTGGAGAATTCACTCTCTTCAACATCATCAACAGATTCTGCAACATGGGTTTTAATTCATTGTTGCAAAACTCTTCATACTGTGTTTTATATCCTTCTTTCTTCTTCACCTCAACAACATGAGTTTTAATCTTTCTTCCTCGACGTAAAGATAACAACGTTAGAAATCTCTTCCGACTTTGATATGATCTTCGAAACCGGAGTTCCTGAAACAAACCTAGAGCCCATCATGATCAAACAAACCTGATATATAGAAAACCTTGCAAAAACGATATGATATCGAAAGCATTCAAACTTGCGGGTCTAGGCAGCCATTCGAGACTTTGAGATTACCCTTCTGATCTAAAAGCAGATTCTCTACTTTTGATCACCGTGGTAGACGTCTCGAGCATGGCAGAACGTGACGGCGGAGATCAGCTGCTGGTTTGGGACCGCCACGGCTCACACAGTCTGAGTGAGTGTGGGCAAAGACATCGAGTTTCAGAGAGCCTGAAGCACGAAGACATTGAGTTTGCAATCAGACCCTGAAGCGCGAATACATCGAGTTTCGGAGACTCAAGAGAAACAACACGAGCACTGATTTTATCGAAGGCGTCAACTTTACATCTGGGTTCTTTCCAGAACCATCTCCATTTCTTCTTCTGTAAACCTAACAGCTCGGAAAAAAAAAATTCTGCAAAGGAAGAAGGAGACTTATAAGACGCATACCAAACTATTTGCAAATATGCTTCAGAGAGAGAAGTAAAAATTATTTATAACAATATAATTAATCAATAAATCATTTATAACAATATATAAAATTGTTTATAAGGGTTTATAAAATTATTTATAAGGATTTGTAAAAATTCTAAAGATAATTCAATTATAGTCTTAAAACATTTTATAAAGGCTAATAAATCATTTATAAGAGTTTATAAATCATTTATAAGGGTTTATAAAATTATTTATAAGAATTTATATATTTTTATAAATGATTTATAAACTCTTCTAGATGAAAACTCTTATAAATTGTTTTATGAAGATTATTAAACTCTTTTAATATTTTGTATAAATCCTTATAAATAGATTTATAAACCTTGTAAATAGATTTATAAACTCTTATAAATGGGTGATAAGTTCTTGTACATGGATTTATAAACCCTTATAAATAGTTTATAAACTTTTATAAATACTTTATAAATACTTATAAGTCTTTTATCGATTTCTTAAACGGTTCATACAAGGTTTTATAAACTCTTATAAACACACGTAAACTCTTATAAACTCTGCAATTACCTGAAGTACGGTTAGTACCTTGACTGTCTTGTTTTTGTGTCGAACTCCATTCTCAGGCCGATCTTATAGCGTTTGTTGCTACCTCTGCAGGACTGAGCTTTCGATTCTCGAAGATTACCAAGTTGCGAGCTTTCCACAGAGCCCAGCAAACCCAAGGGAGGATAGCTATTGTGACTCCTGATGGAGGGAGACAGACACTTCTTTTGAAAGTCATCACTGCTGCTTTGAAGTCCGCCTCTGTAGCTAGGTGAGCTACATGCTGTAGAGGTAAACGATTCCACACATCTCTAGCAAAGGAACAGTTAAAGAACATGTGTGTGTCTGTTTCAGGTTCGGAGCACCTTATACACCGTGCTTCTGCTTGAATACCTCGTCGATGAAGTGTTGCTCCTAGAGGCAGGGCCTCTCTCACGATGGACCACATAAAGAGTTTCATCTTTGGGGAGCATTTCTCATTCCAGACATCCCTGACCCAGTCAAAAGTAGTGAGGTTAGTCACTCTTGCAGCTTGCTCCCTCATCGATGCAGTGTAATAACCGGACTTTGCTGTATAATGTCCAGATTGTAATGGCTGCCACACGTAAATATCCTCGGTTTCTTGTCGGCCTGGATGTAGTAGCTGTATCTCTGTCGCTACCTGAGGTAAGAGTTGTTCAATCCTACTCTTGTTCCATTGCATATCAGAGGTAACGAGTTGCAGAGCGTCTTTTTCGTTTTCTCGGCAGTATTTCGGCAGAAGGGTCAGCTGAAGAAGAAGAAGTTATGCCTCTGTTGTTATCACCAGCATCACCATGGGCTTGTAATGTTTCCCGTTCCACGTTTCTGCTCCTCCTCCTTCTTCTGGAGCCACTACCACTAGGCTGTGATCTCGGTAAGACCTCTGCATCTTCACAAGGGCCTCAGATTGCCGTTGCGATACTTGAGCTATAGATTCTTGAATCTACAAAACAGCAATAGAAGCACAAGTTGTAATGGAAGTATTAAATGTACTTAAGAGAATGTCATGTGTTATATTTAGAGGCAAGGGCATCGTGTTCTGACCTGCTTATTACGAGCCAACTCATCTTCATCAAATTCCAAATCCTGAATGATAATGAAAAGCATATGACAACAGGAACATCTCATAGTTAAATCATTTTCTCTGTAATCTAAAATGATTCAAGGAGAAAAAAATAAAAGTGTAAATGCTTCACCTGCTCCTCATAACTATCGATACTGCCGAATGTAGCTGCAATAAAAGCATCGAATAATGGGTCGGGTCTTGTTGAACGTCGGCTGGCACAATGTTTTCTGCAGGCAGGAAATGCATTTTTTTGCTAATTAATAAAACTCACAACAAGCTTTACAATAAGCTACCTATATATAATAATAATAATACTAAACATGTAAAGAATACCCTTGTCTCATTGACTTATCAATGCACTCTTGACAAAAACGATGGAGACATCCCATGACAGTCCTTGTTTTCCTTATAACTCCTGCAATAATGAAAAAAAAAAACAGGAGCATGAGAAAAGTTGACAATGTAGCTTGTGCAATGTCAGATTCATTAGATGGTCAACACTGACAATAATATAAAGGTGTAGAAGAGAAAGTACCTAAACATATTGGACACTTCACGTGCTTACGGATATCTTTTAGCTCAACATCTTCCACAAATCTAGATTCATTAAAAGTCAGAGATATACTGTAAGATTACTCATGTTAAGCTGAAAGAGACCCATGACACAGATGAAGCTTAAGTCAAACATAAGATAGAATGATTTTCAGGATCAATCTACACAATGTCAAACTCACGTACTAGAGATCAACCCTAATCAAAATGCCACTTGAACTGTAAACTTTGTGATATTTGAGTAGAAAACATGATAGTAATTATACCACGCAAGTAAGAACCAGTACAATGCATCGGATCAATTTCATACTCGTGTTTGTTAACCTAACAGAGACTCATGAGTCATGACACAGGAAGCTTATGTCAGATGGAAGATAAAATCATTTTAAGATGAATCTGCACTATGTCATACTCCCCTGCTAGTAATCAAACGTAAGCACAATGGCTCTTGAGCTATAAAACGAGATATTTGAGTAAAAACATGATAGTAACTATACCAGGCAAGTAAGAACCATCAAATAGACTATTAATCAGAAAAGTCAAAATCTGGTAATGGTACAGAGAAAGAAGCAAAAAAGGTATATAGTGTTGTTACTCTAGTTCTGATTCCTCTTCTGATGTAGAAGATGGACTTCTCTCCTTGGGATCTGCATTTGACGAAAATCTTTACCTTCTTCCTCTGATTCTTCTGTTTCCATGTGGTTCGGATCTTCTTCTTTCTCCTCAGCATCTAGGATTCGACCAAGTTGGTCGTCTTCTTTCTCGGCGGCGGAAAAGTTGTTCAAGCAGAGGGATTCGCGTTAACGTAACGCCGACTTCGAGCAGTTAAAAGATGTAAGAACATAAGAAGTTAAGGTTTAATACTTGACGATCCGTTAAATAGCCTAGGAATCCATCATCTAGGGATTGGAATTGGAAGTGATGAGTTCACCTGAGCAGGCGAAGACATGAGCTGAGGCGAATCAAAGATGTCAAGATACGGCGGCTTATCAGCGTTTAACGGACGACCGAGAAGTTTCTCAGGTGATTGCGCGGCAACGGAAGCGAGCTTTCATCACAAAAGCAATCGCCAANGGAATTGGAAGTGATGAGTTCACCTGAGCAGGCGAAGACATGAGCTGAGGCGAATCAAAGATGTCAAGATACGGCGGCTTATCAGCGTTTAACGGACGACCGAGAAGTTTCTCAGGTGATTGCGCGGCAACGGAAGCGAGCTTTCATCACAAAAGCAATCGCCAACGTCGCACATATCTTATCGTCGTAGTCGGAGTTTGCCGGATCTCACATCCAAGAAGATATAGTCGTGCTTCCTCGCGGTAGAATTAGGTAAGGGTACAATGGTATTTTATCTACTAAAATTTTAATGGTAAAGTTGATTAATGTATAAATGAAATGTGGTATCATGAAAGTGCTATATTTGGCAATTTCCCTTCTTATAAACTGAAATAATAATAAAGAGTTAAACTATCCCAGTTGTTATAAAAAATAAAAAAAATAAATGAAAAGATCAATATGGATTGCTTTGTGAAATTACCATTCTACCCAAAATCTCTTTCTATATAGAATTTTCTCACAGCAATAACCACCTCAAAAATGGCTTTCCCAAACACCTCCTTACTCCTTCTCCTCGCCCTCTTAGGTTTCTACTCGCAAATCATCAAATCTCAAAACTGTAACTGCCCTCCAAACGTCTGTTGCAGTCAGTTCGGTTACTGCGGGACCACAGATGCTCACTGTGGTCGTACATGCCGATCAGGTCCTTGTAGAGGCAGTGGAACGCCATCTGGTGCTGATGCTGTTGGTAGCAATGTCACACAAGGTTTCTTTAACGGCATCATCAACCAAGCCGATAATGGCTGCGCCGGAAAAAGATTCTATACCCGTGACTCTTTCATTAACGCCACCATCACTTCCCCTAGCTTTGCTAATTCTGTTACAAGGCGTGAAATTGCAACCATGTTTGCTCATTTCACTTACCAGACTGGACGTAAGAATCCTTTTCTGGTTCTCTATATCTTTTGTTTTTTTTTTTGATATATTAAGATTTTTTTTACTTCTATTTTGATCAATATGGCAGTCCAAACATTAATGGGCAATAAATAATTTACTAAGGATTTTAATTAAAAAAATATTTTTTTTGTAAATATCTTTTAAATTTTGGGAAATATAGGTTAATATTTCACTTCCCTATGACACCTGTTGGAATGACCAAGGGCAGCAAAACATAGTGGACTATAAAGACTTTGTCCGAAACAAATTACATATAGTAGACTAAAGATTAAAAGCACTGATTATTCTTTACGTTTACATTTACAATGGTATTTGAAATGTACAAATAATTATTAAACCACGATTGCTATCGCATACAAACGTTTGTAACTATCATTATCTAAGATGTAATAGGTCAAACCTCAAATTTATGATACTATGAAAATTGGACATTTGATCTTATCTCAATGGTCCGTTTTGCTCCTAAACTAACCAGTGTATTTTGTATGCATAACTATATTGCATAGACTTCTGCTATATTGAGGAGATAAACGGAGCGTCACGTTCATCTTGCGACCAGAGCAACAGGCGATATCCATGTGCACCGGGAAAGAGCTACCATGGTCGTGGTCCACTCCTACTATCATGGAACTATAACTACGGCCCGTGTGGCCAGAGCCTCGGCCTCGACCTTTTACGCCATCCCGAGCTGATCAGTAGTAACCCAATTGTGGCCTTCAGGGCTGCTATGTGGTTTTGGATGAAGAGCGTGAGGCCTGTGCTGAACCAGGGATTCGGAGCCACCATAAGAGCTATCAGCAGTTTGGAGTGTAACGGTGGAAACTTGGGTGCAGTAAATGGAAGGATTGGCTACTATAGAGACTATTGTGGACAGCTTGGTGTAGATCCGGGTGCCAACGTCACTTGCTGAAAGGTCTTCGAACGTGATGTGACACGTGAGTATCTTAAATGAAATAAAAATTAACAATAAAAAGTTGTAATAACTTGTGAAACTGAATCGAATTATAAAGTTAAAAGAAATATTTATTTCATATATATACGGTACCTTGGTACAATAAGATTGTATTTTAATACTATAGTAAACGGTGCGGTAGTCAAAGTGGAACGGTACGTTCAAACCGCTTTAAAAGTTGCGTTTACAAAAAGAATAGTAAACGGTGCGGTAGTCAAAATAGAACGGAGTGGTCAAAGCGGTTTGAATTACATAAACCTCCCGCACCGTACATGAATGATTACGCATAGCTATGCGAAGACATGTTGGAGCGTTCTGAAAAATTCCAATTGCTTTCACACACCTCTTGATAGTAGTATATTACTAATTTGGGTTGAAAAAAGAAAAAAAAAACAGTAATACAAAGTTCATTATTCAACTCTTTCATATTTGTATGTTTGCTAACGGAAGCTTCACTTATATACATCAGCCAGATAACCCCAAAAAACAACGTCACTTTATTTCTAACATATATATTGAATGGACTAAGGTCTGATACATAAGACACATATCCTTCTAGAAAGTTATTAAATGTCTTTGGATTGTAAGATGATGAGTTGAAGACGATTATCTGTTGTGTACACTCTCTGGAGATCAGAGTGAATTGTTGGCAATTAATTTTTTTTTTGATGAATTGGTGGCAGCAAATTGTTAGTAGTGATTTAACCTAGATGTACAGACTTTCATTCTAGGATCGTAAATCCGTAATTATTTTTATGTCATCATCAATATTTATTTTATTGATCTGGTTAAGATGTTTTAATTTCCAATGAGTTTATATAGTTTTATTTCAAGATTAACGTTCTTTATTGCGAATGGTCGATATGACCGAGACCGTGTTTATTGACATCTAAATTATCATATTGCAATATGGATTATATTACAACAATTGTAGTAAGAAAAATCTGTAAAATTTTGAAAGCCAATTTTCAAAAAAAAAAGAAAAATCTGTAAAACTCGAGTGAGGACATATTTTTTCGAAGAAAAGCCTAATTCCATATTTTAGCAGCTTTCTAATTGACGAAATATATTTTTATTATGTTTCATCTCTAAATTTCTTCACCGCCATTTTTAATACTTATATTTTTCTTTACAAATTCTTCTTACCAAAATCTATAGGCAAAGAAAAAACGCTTTAATCAAAAGTTCGAGGACAAATTATTCTAAATTTAATTAGTTTAAAAAGAACGTCTTGTGGAAATTTCCTTACGTAAAGAATGGGCTAGAAACCAAAATTACATGAGTTGACCTTGACTTGAAAAGCAAGAAACACTTGTTTCCCACAACGTCTACTTCACGGATCCAACAATAATGGTCTTTACTCTCCCTCACTATCCTTAATGTCCAAATCTCCACTATAAAAACACCAACCTAATATACCTCTCTAATCACCACACACACAGACCAATAACATCAAAAACAATGGCGAATAACGCCAAATCTACCACAAGAAAACACTCACTTTCCTTTCTTCTCATAACGGTCTTTGTCTTGATCATAACCGTTTCCAAACCAGTAACCTCTCAGAACTGCGGCTGTGCCTCTGACTTCTGCTGCAGCAAATGGGGTTACTGTGGTCAGACAGAGGACTACTGCGGTGACGGCTGTCGTGAAGGTCCTTGCCAAGGCGGTGGTGGTGATGATGGAGACAATGGCGGTGGAGGCGGGGATGCCGTTTCACTTGAAGAAACCGTGACACCAGAGTTCTTTAACTCTATAATAAGTCAAGCAAGAGATGGGTGTGCAGGTAAAGGGTTTTACTCTCACAACGCCTTCATTGCTGCAGCTAACTCCTATCCGAGCTTCGGTTCTTCCATCTCCAAACGCGAGATCGCTGCGTTCTTTGCTCACGTTACTCACGAAACTGAATGTAAGTACTATTTACATCTTAGGGTTTTAAACATTTAGTTATTTTGATTCGGTTCGGTTACTTCATTTATTTTTTATTTGGTTTTGAAACTATAACTGCGGTTTAAGCCCTTTCTCAAAAAAAAAAAAAAAAAAAACTATAATTGCGGTTTAGTTTAATTCCGCAAACCTCAGTTGATTTCTGATTTTTATATAAAAATAGTAATTGCATATTTAAAATAATGAAGCTAATTTAGCTCTATCAAGAAAAAAATAATATGTTTTCATCATTTAATTGGTTTAAAATACTAAAATCGAACACTTATCATAAATTTCGTTTAATTATATTTTTTTTTTATAGGATGTGAATTATCATTGATATTAAACGGATTTGGTTGGTTTTACTGGTTCCACTTTCCATTATAGGTCCACTGCTAGAATTCGTTTTGTAACTATTTGGTTATACATCGTTGCAGTTATGTGCTACATTGAGGAAATCGATGGACCAGCCAAGGCTGATGACTATTGCGACAAAGAGAACACAGACTTCCCATGTGCACCAGGAAAGGGCTACTATGGTCGTGGTCCGATCCAACTCTCTTGGAACTACAACTACGGTCAGTGCGGCAGAGACCTAAACGAGAACCTATTGGCTTCCCCAGAGAAAGTGGCTCAAGACCCAGCTCTTGCCTTCAAAACCGCTTTCTGGTTCTGGAACACTAATGTTCGTGACAAATTTAACCAGGGCTTTGGTGAGACCATTAGAGCTATAAATGGTATGGAGTGTAGCGGAAGAAATCCCGCAATCGTCGAGAAAAGGATTGGATATTTCCGTGACTATTGTGGCAAGCTTGGAGTCGAACCTGGAGATAACCTCTCTTGTTAAGTTTTTCCTCACTATCAATCTGAAAAAATAATGTTCGAAGTATAATAATAATAAGGGATAACATAAGAAAAGTGTTATCATATGATGCTAATGTAATGAAATGAAGGATTTTAACTAAAAATGCGTCAGTTTTTGGCGCAATATATAATTGAAAAATATATTATTCCTTGTCTTAGTAATTAGATTTAATATGATACAAATCCAAGAAACACATGTTTTCTGATGATTCAACCATTTGATTTTAAACTCTAGATTTTTATACTGTTACTTGATGTCAAGATATAACTGCAGAAAACAAAGTCGTACGTATTTATTTTATTTGATTTGTGAAAGACTTTGTTTTATTTCAGATGATTCATTATTTACATTACTACTTGAACCATTTGCCTTTATTATTACACAAAGCTTGACAAATGCGATATTCAAACACAAGGCGTCTGCGTCTAAGGCCAAAGTAAGTATGTAACCATCGCTTCGAACTCGATTAAGGCTTGTCGCTGCAGAAATCGCATAAGCATTTCATACCACCTGTGCCGGCCTCTGAACGGCATTTTCCCCCTTTCGCGCCCTTGTTCTGACGACATCTCCGATAACAGAACGACGGATATATTCGAGGTGCGCAGAAGCTGAATCCTACATCGCCACCGTATTCTTTAAGGCATCTTCTATCCTGAGATTCTGTCTCCTGCACTTCTGCTAAATTCATATAAAGAGGTTTAAGAAACTATAAGTTACATATATAACGAAACTTGCATGCAATCACCAAGAGTCACTCTGAATCCTATGAATCAAAAGAAAAAAATTAACGAAATAGGAAATAGAGATTTAGTTAATGTACCAAACATAACCAGAAAGAGGATGAAAAATATGGCGAAGGAAGAAACTGACTTCGTTGCCATGGCCATCTATATTTCTCTTCTCTTTTTCTCTCTTTGCAATCTTTTTCACTTTGGACTTGACGTATGGTATATAATGGACTCATGCTCTACACTTGTCGTGGTGATATGCTATTTATCTCTTGCCCACACGTCACGATTGTATTTATTTTCTGACCGTTGGATTTAACCGTAATCAATCGACCTCTACAGGTGGATGTTAATGAAATATTTTATTTTGTTTGAATTTGAAAATGCAAGATGCTAAATACAAAACGAGTAGATGTTTTATTTGGCTCCGATGGGTGTTTTGGCTCTGATGGATGTTTTGGCTTCTACTTTTAGTGGATAAAAAGTTTATAGTTGTGAGTATTGTCATCTAGATTCAAATTTTGACGAAATTAACATTTCAGCATTACCAAAGACAGATGACCGACACGTGGTAATACATGATTAGTTTAGATCACTTCTATAAAACTGTATAATTCAAAAAAAAAAAGATCAAACCATGCGTAACCTCAGCTATTTATCCTAATTTTGTATGACATAATTGTTATTATATATAAAAAATTGATAATTATTGTTTCTGCAGTTCTGCTATGACGATTATTTTAAAATGTTATGTTCTGTAATTCTGTAAGACTTGTCCATTATCATATTTTTTTCATAATTTTAGTGTTTTGCAGTTTTTCATAATTCTATCCTTTTCTGCAGTATTTTATTCTGTAATTTTTACTTCATTTAGCAGTTTTATTTCATTATCTCTGATTTACATGTTTTCAAATAAGAGCTAGAAAAATAAAAACGTTCATCTCTTTATTAATTTAATTCACTTAGAATATGATTACTAAGGATTTTGATGGAGCTCTCAACAAAATATAAAAAATTGTTTCATAATTTTTTTTTTCTCAAACTAAAAATTAACTAAAATAACTAAAAACTAACTTTTAAATAAATTAAATAAACTAAAAGATAATTCTTTATATTCCACTAAGAACATGTCGTAAGAACCCGTTAATCATGCTCTTATTATATCAAGTTGGACCATTTTTTTTTTTAATTATACAGAGATATCCTGACCTCACAAAAGTGATCCAGACTAATCACGTGTTGCCATGTATCGGTTTTCTGTCCCTAACGATGCCAAAATGTTAATTCCTTAGTGATCGAAATTCGAACCCAGATGGCGATACTCACAGTTGTAAACCTTTTACCACTTCAACGAAGTTGAACGATTCGCCTTTATTATTACACAAACCACATACAAGATTCAAACAAACATAAGGGTTCTGCGTCTGTGGCCTAAGTATACAACTATCGCTTAGAATTTGATTAAGGCTTGTCGCTGCAGAAATCACATAAGCACTTCATACCACCACTGCCCGCCTCTCCTGAGCTGCATCTTCCACCTTTTGCTCCCTTGTTCTCACGGCATCTCTGATAACAGAACGAAGGATATATCAGAGGCGCACAGAAGCGGAAACCCACGTCGCCGCCGTATTCTTGAAGACATTTTCTATCCTGCGCTTTTGTCTCCGGCACTTCTCCTCAATTCACATAAAGAAACTTTAAGTAAATATTAGTTACATTACATATGTACACTTGCATGCGATCACCAAGATACATATATCCTCTGAATCCTATATATATATATATGAACCAAACTAAATGAGAAACACGTAGTTAAAATAGTTTACCTATGATACTCAGAAAGAGGATGAAAAGTATGGCGAAGGAAGAAACTGACTTAGTTGCCATGGCTTGGCTATCTATTTATCTCTTTACACTCTTTTGTTTCACGTTGGAGTTAAACGTATGTATAAAACGGATTCACGCTCTTGTCGTGGTGCTATACTATTTATCTTCATTAATTGTGGGACAAAATGGACAAAAAAAATTGTCAAGAAAAACCCCACGAGTCACATTAGGTGTCATTGTGAAACACAAAACAAAAGCGTGACTTGGAGAGCTGAGACGACTTGGGATTGACACGGATGGGCAAGGGACCCATATGATCTAAACACACACAAAATAGCACGTTTTCTTCTCCCTTAGTCAAAGTATTACCAAAGCTTATGTTATTGTTACACACAGAAAGTCGTACTTTCATTATTCTTTGTTTCATATTACATTATTATATCGTTCTATTTTGGACTATTTACAAACCATGTCTAAACTTGTGCAAGAACGTAACAAACTAATATTCAAACGTTGCGGCCATAGTGTATTAAATTAGTGATGGCTTAGAAGCTGTGATCAGTAGGATTGATTGTTGCAGAAGTCACATATAAGCACTCAACATTACTGCCTTCTCCCCAACGGCATCTTCAACCTTTTAGCTCCTTTGTTCTCACGGCATCTCTTGGAAACAGGCTTTTATCGCCTTTGCCATTTTATCTATGTCTCACTTTGGCTTTGTGAACACTTGGTCTTGGCCATACTAACCAAACCGTTTTGCTTAGTGATATAGAACAGAACCATACCAAAACTAATTTTCGAAGAGTAAAACATTAATAATATTTAGCTAATACATCCAACTTCTTATTCTCTGATTTATATAAAAAGGATAAACATATACAGTAAACCTGACTCCACTATACTAAAACTGTCTTTATCCCTCATGCCTTTTCTTTATAAGCAAACTAACATATGGAGAAATAAACAACATTCTTTCCCAGAAGATAACATAACTGAGTAGTGGATGATGCTATAAACCTGTTCCTAGGTAACCGTTGCTGCCAGCAGAACTACCTATAGGCGCAGGCAAATCACGGACCAGGAACTTCACTGTGTGTTTTCCCATACCATATAATATCTCCAAACACTCTTGTAGATCAGAATCTGTAACCAGCATCACCCATTCTTCTTCATCATCTAAGTACTTGAGCTGAAACGACTCCTCTTGCAGTTTAAACCGTTTCCCAACTTCTTTGTACAGCTGAGAACACCCAAGCGAAGGCTCAAACTTGAAACGTATTGTGTCTTCTCTATAAGTAGCCTTTACAGTCAGCGTTGTTGGTCCACTCTCGCAGCTATTGCTTTTGTGGGATCTCACTTGGTTCCATTCGTCCATGGAAGTAGATGAGCTTCTGAGCATAACTGCACCTGAGCCGTTTGATGAATCTGACATGCTGCATGACATGGAACGGTTAGGTTCGTTGATATTGCCACTGCATCTGATTGCCTGAGAGCTTAAGTCACCATTGACGCCAGCCGTCCAAGCCCATTGCTGACCACTGGCATTAACCTCAACGTATGATCCTGCACAACCAGAAAGTAGTTTAAGATTGTAGCCTCTTAATCTAAAGTTTATGGTATAGAGATTTACTAACCGTTTGTGATGATATCCTCCTCTAACTTAACGGCATTGTCGACTGATTTAGCTTCCAAGAGCTCAAAAGATGTATCTTGAGGCACATCTTCCTGACCTCTAACATGTGCATTGTTACCATTAGAAGATGGATCCTTTTGGGTATCAAAGTCTTTGATACAAGGACTAACTGCAATGAATTCGCCTGTCGCTGAGTCAAACTTCAATCCTCCTTCCACACCCTGGACAGAGTCAAGCACCGTCTGTATTTTCCTTAGTGACCTGTTCACTTTGTTAATTTTACGAGATGGCCACCTCATGATCCCATGTTGTCTGCATATCCGTTTTAGTGTAGTGGGACAAACTGCAAGATTAGATCCAAAGTCAAGCGTTAGAAAATGTTTGTCTGGTAATTGAAACGCATCTTTGCCTGAGAGAAATATAGAAATATGGTAATCTCACCACCAAGGCTTTTTGCAGCATCCTTAAGACTCCCAGAAAAATGTTGCTGGAGAACACTTAAGCTCACATTCTTCTCTGTTGTGCTTTTCTTCTTCTCTTGTGTTCTAGCTTTGCTCATATCCTGTGAAGAAAGAACAAAAAATAAAACTCAGTGCTCCCTCTAGTAAGTTCGGTTCACAAAATCTACAGAATAACCAAATTGCATCACATACCTGCTCATAAGTGCCTAGAGAGCCTGTACTACCGTTATCTTTATCAGATGACATATCCGAAAATATACTTCTAGTAGAGTTGAGTTCTAAATCTGATAACATTGTCTGAAAGTTTGCTGAACATATGGTCTGAAATCCAGCTTTACTCGCTTCTTTTTTAGTTGCTCCCACATCTGAAACAGTTCTCAGAGTTCGACAAATTCTCTGCATAGTACCCGAAAGACTGTCTAACAGAAGCTGCTGCTCCAAGCTTCCTTTCATACTTGGAGGCAAGAAAAGTTCAAGTATGTAATCATCTTCACCAGTGTAAGTGCTTCTCAGTTTTATAGCAACAGCAGCATTCAGACCGTACTTCCGAGCATGCTGAACAAGAGGGTACTCACTGATGTCATAAGCCTTCACATCAGAAGAAAAGAACGGCTGGTTTGATACGAAAGCTTTGCCAACAATTCCTTCTTTTTCTCTCAGACAATGCTCCAAACAAACGTGCACAAAGCCTTCCATCTTCATATCATTTACATAACAAGCTGTCTCCTCTACGCAAAGTACACAACTTTCACCTGAGTTTGATCCATACACCTTTACTGATTGATCCTTTCCCCTCTTGCCGTAACTACAAGGAATCCAGGCTAAAGCTAAAGGCAACCTGTGTGCATGACACACTGCTCGGAGAACATCTTGTATTTCAGCTAAGGCGTCTCTTTGATTACTTGAAATGTACTGAAAAGCAAAAATACCATTTGATTGAAGCATAAAATGACGAGAAATAATGAAAAGGCAAAAATACCATTTTGTTTTGTTCAGAAGTTTTACCTGAGGGCGAGGGCACGCTGATGTCCGCAAGTTTACAGCCTGAAAAAATGAAAACACAAACATGAATATCTCTGCCAATACTACTTTTATACAATCAGTGACTGCATTTTGTAACCTCAGCTTGCAACCAAAAAAAATTGTCCCCTGAGCTGCCCTGGAAGCTTTCAATGACAAAGACAGGAGACTCGGGCAGTTCTTAAGCCAACAAAGATTGTCAGACCGTAAATCAAAGCTTGAATAAAGTTTATAAGTTGTAATTATGCACTTGCTGCTGCAAAAGAGCATCAACATCCAGATTATTTAAGACAAGATTGACACAAGTTCTTTATGTTTGGAAGAGCCTAGAACTAAACCAGATTAAGTCTACTCTTTATACTCTTCCTATCAGGTGTTAATCAGTGAGAGAATGAAATAACTGCAGACAACCTTAGAAAAAAAAATCATCTATACCTCCTAAGACCTTCAAATTTCCTATCAAAGGAATTTGATAACTGGAACAAAAAGTTTGGGGGGCACAAGTAATATAAGCAAACATACATATAAGCAGAGAGAGAGAGATACAGAGAGAAAGTGAATTAACCTGGAGAGCACGGCAAACAGAGTCCATCTCCGCATCAAAATTGTTTTTTTCCGTGGAAGTGACGAGCTCCATGACAGCACAACAAGTTTTCCCAGATGCTTCAAGAACAGGTATTGCAATGGAGCCACGGACTTCATTATCTATCGCATGCTTCATACGCAGATACTCATCCGTCTTGTAATACAAAACGTTTGATGTCCATTCAGGTACTCCGGAGATGAAGACACGGCCAGGAAGACCAGGGAAAGAGCACTGATTTGCTTCAGAAGCAAAAGTGAATTTCCTTGAGACTTCACGGTACCGAGACAGCCTAGGGTCAAGCAAATAGGCTTGGTCACATGTACTGAGCATGTACTGGTCTCCTGTCTTGATAGGAGTCCAAACTTGCGCTAAAATGCCCTCTCTTGAACCTGAGGACTCTAGGAACAAGCTTAATGCCTTAAGCATCTTCTCATCTAGTGAGTGGCTCAAAGACCTAGGGACAGTAGAGTTCATTAAGTTAGGGAAACCATTCTTCTGATTAGCCACCCTGCGCCGTTTACCACTTAACTCAATGCTCTCTAACGAGCGATGAAACTGAGAGCTCATTTCATGTTCTGACGATCTTTCTTCACCATAGTAAGAGCTTTCCAAATCATGGAATGAACGAGTAAGACCTGATAAGGTAGCAGCCCTCGGCTCACCTCCAAAGGGCATAGAGTGAGAGGTCGGTAGACCATATTGGGCGAACAAGAGATCAGTGGAAGAAGGGCTGTTACACCATGTAGTTAAAGAGTCGAAATTCATAAGCTCTGAGGAGTTAAGCATATCATCAGAGATCAAATTCCTAACACCAGAACCAAAGCTTAAACCATCCATCTGTTCTGTTGGAATCTCTTGATAACCAAATCCCTTGTCTCTAGAAGCAAAAAGGTGGTCCATAACGTTGATCACTAGTTGACCAAAACACCACTACATCAACAACAACAACAAGAGCAACTATTGATTTTGATTCGAACTACTAAAGACAGGATCTTTCATTTAAATCTTACAAGCAAAATCTCTTGAACACCCCTCACGTAGAAACTTAACCTCCACCAGTACCCTACAAACATAGAAGACGTCACAAAATCAATTCAAGAACTGTTCCCAATAAGTGCAGAAGAGAATAAACTAGCTCTGAAACTGGCAGACCAAAAAAGCGTCAAACTTTTTTTTAAGAACAAAAAACTTTCAAAGAGGACAAAAGTCACCGCAGCAAAAGAAAAAAAAATAACAAGCCCAAAATTCCACAAATGCGAAATCTCGTAGCAAACAACAACCTAATTGCAAAAGTCCAAAACTTGCCAAAACCGCAAACTCAGGAACATTACATGTTTTTTTTTTTTTTAAATAGGAACATTACATGTTTAGTAGTAAGAGACCAAAGTTCAGAGTTTCAGACAGACCTAGAGAATCGAACTCAAAACGGAGACGACACTAACGAGAGTGGTCTTCCCTTGAGAGAAAACAGAGCAAAGCAAGAACTAAGTTTTAAAAAAAAACAGAGCTTTAAGAAGCTAAAAATAGAAGGTTCGGTTTTGTTTCCATAAACAGAAATTGCGGAGGAAAAAAAGACTTACACTTTAAAAGCAGACGAGGAAGGTAGTAAGTACATCAGCAAGAGTGAAATATGGCCGCTTCCATTAAATGGAAGACTCGTAAGCTTTTGCAAACGAAAGAAAGGAAGAGACTTTGGAATCGAATCGGTGAGAGATTGTGTGCTTTCGTAAGCAACAGAACGATGCGTTTTTGAGATTAGAGTTATACACGTGTGACGACGTGAAAGGAACTGTGACTGATATTTTTTATGGGTGTTCTCTTGGTCTTATTATCCCCAATTAGATGAATATTTTTAATTCAGGAATCCTTGGACACGGTATCTTCATATGTCAGCGTATATGTTTTACAGAACCAACGTTACTATTGTTAATAGATATATATAAATATCTTTATTTAACCTTTTCTTCTTTATAAATCCTATCGAGATCAATCATGGGAAGAACACATTGAATACTATAGAATGAACTGGACACCACATTATCTAATTTGAATTTGGAGTATTCCACTAATATCAAAAAATAGATCGAATCCCAAAATTAAACTGATCAAATAATAATAACAAGAGTTTCATCCACACATCCGTGCGAGTGTATTTTCATTTTATAAATATATAACTACAATTTTTAAATATATAATTTATATTTTAGTTTTAGTTATAATTATATCTAATAACGAAATAAATGAAATATTTATTTTATAAAAAAAATATTTAAATTTTTTGGTAAATATTATTAGATTTTTTCAACAGATTTTGTTATATTTAAATTTATTTATTATTAATATCCTTATTAATAATTAACATATTTTTAAAATAATATATATTTGACAGGTTAATGTAACAATCAAATAATTAATGACATGTCCAACATGAATTCTGAATACTAGATAAATTTGGTACTTTTCTTTTAATAGAGAAAATTTAATTTCCAGGGATAGTTAGATCCTAGACTAACATAAATATATACCAAACTACAAAAGATTACTACACTTAATTAAATTTAATTAACTATTAAACTATTAATGAATTTCACTGATAATGAACCAGAGAATTTAAATTATGAACCATGGTAAGTCATATTCAATGACTATTTATATTCCACATCAGCTTTTATCTTTTACACCTTTTAGTTCAACATATATTTATCTATTTTTATTTACAGATTTTTTGGTGTTCAAATCAAATATGTTCAAATCAAATATATATATATATATATTTATCTATTTATATATTTGTAAAGTTTTAAAAATGATAATTTTAATGAAAATAAAAAATAAAGAATTTACATGTTTTAGAGAACCGACATTACTATTGTTAATATATATATATATGTTGCCCAAAAAATATATATATATATATTTAAATTCTTTCTTTTATAAATTTTATTAGTTGATCCGATCAGTCTCGGTTGGAATATATTTAATACTGCAGAGTAGACTTGTTATCATAGTGACTAATCCGAATTTTGAATGTATTTGGACTAATATCAGAGGTGACTGATCATATATTACAATATATCTAAATTTAATTAACTATTAAATTATTTATGAATTTCACTAATAACGAATCAGAGAATTTAGACTATGAACAATGGTAAATCATATTCAATTCAATGACCTATTTATACTCCACATCAACTTTTCTCTTTTACACCTATTAATTCAACATATATTGATCTATTTATATTTACAAAGTTTTTTGTGTTCAAGTAAAATTATATATATATATATATTTATTTATTTATTTATACAGTTTTAAAAGTGATAATTTTGATATAAAATTAACAAAATAAAAATAATGTTTTACTGTTGAATATTTGATTTAAAATAGTTGGGATGGAAAAGTTGTGATGTTCGGCTTAATCAATATTTTACAATGAATGATTATTTTTTTTATTCAGTCTTCAGATAGTATAGATAACTAGATTAGAATATAACAACTAATAAAACAAATTTTTCAATAAAAATACTTCGTAATCCTAATTAAAGTCTCTATCAACTTAATGATTTTTATTGGATATAATATGTGAGTATTCATTAATTCAGAATACGAGATACTATACTTTTTCTTAGATCTAACGTACGTGATATGAAATACATTCAGCTATTAAATTAATCGGTTTTTTTCCTAACTATAATCAACTGATGAACCACATTAAACTTTTTATATGAATTTTCTGCGTGTTAATTCACTTATTTTGCATTATTTTATACATCCGTTATAACAAACTTTTATCTAAGAATCTGGTTTTGTTGATGTCAAAAAAAAAAAAAAAACTTTTATCAACCTAACCTCAAATAAATTTTTGTATATAGAATCACAAAATAATCACTAAGTTAATATGTTTTCGTATATATATATATGATGAAAGCATTCCTAAAACATGGAGCTGATAATAGGAGTTTTTAAGATCCTATTCAAATGTTATAGTATAAAAGATATCGAACCAAATCTAAGCAATCATAAACCAGTGGGATTACAAGACAAAGCTTAATCTAAGTGCTATCAATATTAAAATGGTTTTGTTTTTAAAGTAAGAGAATACTAAATAAGCAATAAAGATCAAGCTTTCTTTCAAAATGAGAAGGTNTTAAGACCTAGTCTATTAACCATTCAAACAACTTTAACATCAAATCTCTTTGGTAAAGATTGTTAGAAGCAATGAAGAGTTGGTTCAGGTATTTCATCAAACACCTTGTGGGCTTGAAATACCTAAAGATCAATTCTAGAGAGGCCAACTCTAAAATAGCATTAAGATCACCCAACAAGCAAGGAAATAGATGGATCTATACTCTAACACCCTAGATCTAGCTTAATCCCCCTTTGATCTCCCTAACCCATGAATCCAAAGATGTCTACTCACTAATAACCATGATCACACTTAAACCTATGAAGGATTTAAGGTAAATCATGATTAGAAAGCAAAGAAACACTTAAATAAACTGAAGAACACAAGATAAAAGATGAAATCTTAGATCAAAGGAATAAACTTTCACCAAAGTATCAAGTGTTTAGGAGAGAAAACAAGATAAGATCCCAAAAAACATGCTTAAAGGTATTTATAAGGTGCTTAAAAACGCTAATGGGCTTAACTCACAAGTTAATTAGGCCCAAATTAAAACATAAACACGAGTGTGAATAGTGCTGGAGCGACCCCCAGAACCCGGGTGAGACCCCGCGCTGGTGCCCGCTTGAGCTGGAGCAACCACCCGTGGCCGGTGTGGGACCCCGCTCCAACACTTGCTTGATGCTCTCCGGATGTCCTGTCCACAGCGGGGTATAAAAGTCGGGTGGAAAGCTCGCTCTGGTGCCCGCTTGAGATGGAACGACCCCCCAAGGTCGCTGTGAAACCCCGCGGTGACACTTGAGGCTCAATCCTTCTTCGGGTATGTTCTGTCTAGAGCGGTGTCTAAAGGTCGGGTGAGACCCCGCTCTGTAGCTCGCTCAAGACACCGCGGCCCCTTAAACTCGCTCTCAGACCTCGCTGTGCCACTTAAACTCGCAAATTGATCATTTCAGCCTTTCTTGAACCAAAACTACTCCAAACTCCTTCAAAAGCTTCTTGAGGTACTCCATCACCTAATGTAAACAAATGCAAATGGATATNTAAACTCGCAAATTGATCATTTCAGCCTTTCTTGAACCAAAACTACTCCAAACTCCTTCAAAAGCTTCTTGAGGTACTCCATCACCTAATGTAAACAAATGCAAATGGATATGCAACCTAAAAATGCTTTTTATGCAATCCTAAACTCTAATATGCATAAGAAATGGTTAGTTAGTTCAATGAAAATCACAAGATATCAGGAGCCAGGAAAATAAATTAGTAGGTGCATAATGTTAATAAAATATTATATATATATGTATATAAAATTGATTATGGGTGCATCGAACTCCCTACCACAAGATTCATTGAGTGCGTTCACTACCAATTGAGCTAATTTAGTCATAATCATTTTATGTAACATGAAAATCATTAAAACATTATGGGTGTACTTGCACCCAGAAATGTCAATGTGGCTTCGCCCTGGCAATACAATACATTGAAACAGGGATTAAACCATCCAAATGAAATTAATTTGGTTAGGTAGCAGAAAATACATTTATTTAGTTCAATCATATAGACTTATGTTTGAGAAATAAAAGTAGATTAAATATTTTACAATTAATGATTGTTTCCGATCTTTAAATAAAATGGCCAGTTACCAATAATACAATCATCATGAAATGGTACTTATGTACTCACATCTCCTACTACAAAAGTAAAATAAAGAGATAATTGGTTAAAGTGCCCTATTTGGCACCTATAATTAGAGAATTGCTCATGATGTGACAATCACTTTCCTTTGGACCATTTTGTCCTTCTCTACATTCTCTCTCCTCTCTTTGACATCTCCTCCCTATTTTTTTTCTCTTCAATCCCTAATTATTTTACAAATCTCTATCATTCTATATACAATTAAATTTTAAATTTCATTATTTTTTCATAAGTGGCTTTGAATCCTCAATTTTTTGACCTTTTTTTCTTCTCTCCAATCCCTAATTATTTTACAAATCTCTATCATTCTATATACAATTAAATTTTAAATTTCATTATTTTTTTCATAAGTGGCTTTGAATCCTCAATTTTTTGATGATATCATTTTTCTGGGTTTTAGATTCGACGTTGTATTAGCGGTTAACAAATATTGTAGATGTTAACAGAAGTGTTAGTTGTTAACAATTATTTTTACGTATCGCGTTAATAAATGTGTTCGCTGTTAACAAATATTGTAGACGGTAACAGAAGTGTTAACTGTTAACAATTATTTTTACGCTTCGCGGTAATAAATGTGTTGGCTGTTAACATATATTGTAAACGTTAACAGAAGTATTATGTGTTAACAAATGTTTTTACGCTTCCTGTTAATGAGAGGAAAGAGAAAGGACATTCTCGGCATTTCCTTGCCAAATGGTCGTGTCAGTGTCCTTTATGTCCAATCAATGGTATTTTGCTAATTTGAGTTTGTTCACTAAATCACTCAAAAAAATGGCCAGTTATCAATAATACGATGAAAACATATTGTAAAATCCCTATGGTTTTTAATCTTATTTTAGTAGTAGGAGATCAACAAAAGATGCATGGACCCTTTT